CAACACATTCTTCGCCGTCCTCTCCCAGTACTGCATCCCTCTCCATTCCTTCAAATACGTCTACAATTCCTTAATTTCTTCTAAATCTTTCGATTTTTCTTCCTCCGAGTCGGGACCTGAGTCGACTCAGTATAATGTTAAAATCGAGTACAAGAGTTTCGTCGAGATTATATCGAAGGAGCGGCGGTTATGGAAAAGATATGTGGCTAGAGGGAGGTATGCAATGATGCCGGAGGTGCCCTTTGAGAAATTCCGTGGTGGGTCTCAGTTTTTTGTTATCACGCGCCGACACGCGCTCATGGTGATTGAGGATCGTAGGCTGTGGAACAAGTTCAAGCTGCCGTGTTATCGAGAAGATGAATGTTACCCAGAAGAACATTATTTTCCTACGTTATTGTCAATGCAGGATCCAAAGGGGTGTACTAAGTATACATTAACGAGGGTTAATTGGACAGGAACCCGTAGCGGGCATCCTTATACTTATAAGGCTAGTGAGATTTCTCCGGTTTTGATTCAGGAGCTGAGAAAATCGAATTATTCGAGTTCGTATTTGTTTGCTCGGAAATTCGAACCGAATTGTTTGAAACCTTTGATGAGAATTGCTGATGAAGTCATTTTCCAGGACTAATGATGTGGTAAGTGTCTATTATTCTGCGTAATTTTGTTATTTGTTGAGTTTGAGTTAGTGAGTTGACGCGGTGAGTTTGGGTTTGACGGTAGGATGGTTTGGCTTTGATCAAACCTAGAAAAGTTGGTTTGTTATTAGAAGTTGGTATTTGGCTAAAGTCGGAGTCAAGGTGGCACTTTTTCTTTAATACTTTTACAAATGTTGGTTTAGAATTATTGGAGGGATGGAGTTTTCACTTGAATGAAGATTAGCCTCTCAACCTGGTCATGCTGTCATTATCATGTCAATTCAATCCACATTTACCAAATTTTTTCCCTAGCAAGTTCTGGGAATTGCATATTTTGTATGATCTTGGGATAGAATTTGCTCAAGATGCAAACTTTTGGTCTTAATGTGACTTGAATGGGCCTTAGATTCTTGACCCATTGATTTCCATATTTTTTTAATCTTTGCTGATGTAATTGAGAGAAAGTTGTAGGGATATTCTTTGGTGATGAAATAAGCAGCAAGTGATGTGTGATTTGTGACAGATTAGCATATCCAGGGAATGATCTTTTTTCTTGAGCTAGGCTTTGGTTGCGTTGTCTTGGAAGTTATTTTAGTTGTGGAAAATATTGAACATTTTAGCCAAATTATACAAGCCATGTTATTAACTAATGTTTTTCTGGCGACCAGGCACACCCTAGTATTGGATATTCTTGAACTGCTAGAACTCAACCATATCAACCAAATTGTATTTGACCGTGCCCTGAACTTTTGCTTGTAGTGCTTTTGACCCAATTAGGCAACCAATGATATATGCATTATCATATATGGCAGCTTAGCCAAAAGTTTACTTGCTTTATTTTGTTACATCTTAACCTTTTAAGCTTGCCGAATTTGTTATGCTTTGTTTGTTATTATTTGGTTTCTGATTTGTTTCCATATATATTCCGAAGTTGCCGATCAAGCTGATTCATTCGTGCCAAATGACATTTTTTTACAGATGAATAAAAGAGCTGAAGATATATGAAGAAGTGTAAGGTATTGTTGGAGTAACTTGCGCTGGGGAGAATGGTTTTGAAGAGGCGTCAAGTGCCCACAACCTGAAAAAATTAACCCCAAAAGTTGCAGCCCGGAGAGGGCCATTAGAAACATAGAAAGGGATGAAAAATAGGTACTTAAACTCGGGGGTGGAGAGCAAAAGAAACTATTTTTTTATGAAGATATCTGCAAAAGTCGAAAATTGTAGGAGTTTTTGTCTTCTTTTTGTGTGTGTTCTGTACATATGTGAATGTACTTTTAGGACAGAAAGAGGGAGGGAAGAAAATGCAGTAAACAATTCAGCAAGGAAAAGCATTGTAGGAAACGGTGATGGGCTCTGATTAAAGAACCTGAGCCAAAATCAACCCCCCTCCTCCCCCACCCACCCCTTCACTTTTATTCAAATTTTGATGTCTTATTTTATTTTTATTTTTGGGCAAAATGTCAGTTTATTTAATAAATTGCGGATCAATCTCCTATTATCAGTACGTTTTTTCCGCCCTTTTACTTGTTTCTTGGAACCTCGCATGGGATCTGATTGCAATGGGATTGTTTAGCCAATGAAATGACAAGTGCAGCAGTGAAGCCCAAGAATAAATAAATAAATATATGTACCATGAAAGGTTTTGGCAGGTTTGTCATGTTACGTTCTCAAGTTTTTATTATTCGTTGCCTTAGTATTATTTTTTTTAAATAAAAAACGAAAATAATACTGAGCTTTTTTATGAGCTCTTGCCGACAATTTGATTACTCATTGTTTCACATATATATATAGATGGATGGGTGCTGGCTAACTACCAAAACCCGTGGTTGCAAAAGCACAAGATTGTTTACATTTGGATTCGTTGTCCTCCCTCCTCTAGGCATAATAAAAGCTGCTTAGATTATTTCTTAAATGACACCTTCGCAACCGAGGAAATGAGAAAAGCATAACATGCTGCTGCTGCTGCTGCTCTTTTTTTTTTTAATTTATTTTACAACAATTTTACCAAACTTAAGAGAATTTTTAATAAAATCAATGTAATGAAAACCAAATATTTTTCAAAACCACAGTACATAAGCAGAAATAGCCTTCAAGCTTGAAAACCTAACAATATTTAGGCTACACAATTGAGTATTAAAGTCTTTTTCTAGATTTGCAATCCCCGTCATAGAATATCGGCTATGGTCTTTAATGCATTACCACCTTTCCATGTTCCTAGTTTGACGAAAACGAGGACATTGCTTGGACCTTAACATGTAAGAAACAGTATCGACTTCCAACTTGTCACTGCAATAAAAATCATGACAGCTTGTATGCAATAATGCACCTTCATCATTATTCACAAAAATATACCTTTTTCCCTCTCCTAAGCATCTCATGGGCCAACCAGCTATAAATGTTAGAACTTGTGGCTCACTTTCTTAACACACAAAAATGAAAATGGTGGGTCACCAACCTGTAGATCATGTTCATGAAACAAACTTGGAAAATTCAATGGTATGGTGCCCAGAATGAAAATTGCCTGTCCTTTCTTCTGTGGAAACTTCTACTGCTGTCAAAGGCTTCTTCACAAAGTGGGCAACCATGCTACATTTAGGTAAGTTTAGAAAGAAGCGGAAGGATTCTGTTGGATTATCTATATACGCAGGTTGTGTTTTGTTGCTAGTAAGCACCTGGTCTATTTGATATTTGATATTGTAGTGAGATTTGATTGAAACTGAGTGTTTGTTTAATCAATGAAACACTTATCATGCATAAATTGCCACTGAAAACACTTTCTTGAAATTATAAAAAAGTTTTAAATTTATAACTTTTCTTAAATTTACATTTTTAAACTATAATCACTGAAACTACCACAATAAACTACCACAATGTCAAACACACACTTTGTTAAGAAATAAACGAGGCAATAAGACAATTAATCTGACCCTTTCTACAGACTTATTTCATACCATACCAGAAACAAAGTTGAAGAATCACTTCCATTTACACGCATGAATTTGCAGTCTCATATGCCATTCTATTGATTTTTGAACGTGAGAAGGAAATCAGTTCTGTGGTTAAAAAAAAAAAAAATACTAGGAACCTATAGGGATACTTCAATTTCTACTCTACATTTTTTCTATTGAACTGTTGTCCAATAAAATTTAATTTCAGCAGCAAAAGAAAATAGATATTTCCTGCAATGTACTCGTTGGTTTTGCAACTTGCAAGGTGACAAGGCTGCTTGGAAATGTAAGTGGACAAAACTTACAGATAACGGCAACTTTATCTTCAATGGAGAACAGAAACAACTTCCTTTTAGCGGCAGGAAAATGTCAATGCTTCTACTAATTCCATATTCCACAGCTAACTTTTCTCAATAATCATCATCTAAACCATTGGAAAGCCAGAAAAGAAAGCAACCATTGGGCTTACGGAATTCATCAGATGAGGTTGCTGATGCCAAAGTAGACAGTTTTTTGTTGAAAGGAATTGATGGCGTAGTCAACCTGAAAATGACCAGCTGGAGACTTGAAACGAAGGCCATATCCAAGCCCAACTCCAGATCCTGGTTTGCCCTGCCTCATCGCTGGATTTCCTGAAACTCAAAAGGCAAATGGTGTCATTAGCCTGGCAACAACAACAAAAAAGATGGGGTGGTGGGGAAGAAGAAATAGGAGGGAAAACAAAAGGACTTCAAAGTTACAAAGGCAAAAACAACAAAATTCACAATGGCAAAGAAAATAACAGATAAGCAGTGGTAGTCGTCACACACAGGGTTGTGGAACATGCTGAGTAAAAACACTGAGCAATTGCAGACATGGTTGAATGAGGGGAGCTCAAACAGATCTATTGAAGTAAGACCAACATAGACAAGTTAACTTAATCAGGTTAGCAAAAGAATGGGGAAGCAGTATACAACTAATAATTATTAAACACCAAGGCTTCATACTTCCTAGAGAAAGAGAAGACTAGGTCCTTCACTTCCCACTATAATTACACTCCATGGCCCATATTCATCCAATTACAATGCAGATTCCTATTCATCTAAATTCCTCCATTTTTTTGCTGCAATTAGATGTGTTTGAAGTCTTGAAAACTTTATAAGAAGTTGTTTAAGTCCATTGTACAACTAAGAACTAAAATGCAGATTCGTTTGTATCTCTAAAACAGAGAAACTGAATGTCACTATTTACTCAGCAACATAAATACTATTGGACAGTGGAATGAAAAATTCAACTGAAAATAAAAGAAAAATTGTGAGTAGAGAACAATTTCTAAGCAAGTGAGATAAGTTAATTTACCAGGTACAAGACGACCAGATCCCAGATCAGTTCCACAGTCCAAGAAAAAAGCACCTTCCAACATCTTACTCTGGATACAGTAAGAAATGCATTGAAAGTAAGTTGACATGTATCACTTCATCAAATTCAGTCATGAGAGAAAAAATATACAGAATGTGATAGTGTACGACGGAAGGCAGCTACAACAGAAAACTTTGATATAAATTTTAAGAATAACTAGTGTGATGTAGTTGACCCATACCTTCTTACTATATGTCTAAGTTCCATAGTATACTCTAAGTTCCATAGTATACTCGGAATATCTAATAAATCATGAGAGGAAATGAGAAACAATATGGAAATGCCACCAATCTCTCGGTAGAAGAAAAATAGAAGTTGGTTGATTATTTCAAGTCTTGAGGTGTTTTAGGGTTGCATCACCTAGAGGCAAGAGGAACCCTTAAAAGAATATGTATATTTTCTTGGCACCAAGTAATGTGCAAGTTGAGTGGTCATATAATTGGTCCCTCACCAAAAAATAAAAAATAATAATATTGGTCCCTTCAATGTCCCAGAACCAATGATTAACTGTATCTTTGACAAAGATACAAACCTAAATGACTTGTTCTATCTTACCTACTCACTTTAGCACTGCTCCGATTGCCTTGATTTTGCATATGAATTTCAGAAAACCCAGTTATCCATACTATAAGCTTCCATATAACAGACTTAATGGCCATGGTAAAGAAGCTTTACTTCAAAGTGTTATAAATAGCAGCGAGTCCAACAGCATTTACAATGCATCTATACCAAATAGCGAGAATCTAATTTATCTAGAGGTGTGTTTAGCAATGACTCAATTGAAGATGACCGCAACAATAAGTTTCAAGATTCACAACACAGATTTCTCGTTTTTCTTTGAGGGTTAATGAATTTTCAATTGTGCTTTTGCTGGCAATGCAATCGTCCTTAAGATGAAGATGAGAAAAGATCACACACGCTAGAATCTTGTCTCTTCTCCACCAGCAAAGAACATTTCTTGTCTCTTGCAAGAAACAATCAACCTACTTATTAAGTAGCCAAGGATTCAAAACTAGGACATTGTGGCCTACACAGTCCAATCTAATAAATATGACCTTGCCCGGAAAAGTACAGATTAGTTTTACCCTCACCAAAATGCCACCAGCACAATTTTTATTTTTTTAATGCATTTAAGAACAAACCTTGAAAGAGAGGCAGGAAGGAGGATTTTAGAAACAGAACCAATTGCACAGGTGATGCAGCCATTGGAAATGGTCATTTCCTACTATTCCCTACTTCAGTCTCGGCTAGTTTTTTGTGTTTTAGCTACCCCAAAACAGATGGTATTAGGTGGCCTATTTCTCCTAAATTGTCAATGTTTGCTTGTTTCCTAAACAAACTACAATCACATGGCAAGACAAACTGCTGTATTTATGAATTACGAAAAGAGATTAAGGGAATCAGATAGAGTAATTCATTTGATTCCATCCCCTCTTCTACTTTCAACACCCAACACAATGAAACAGACAACATAGTAGTAAACCAGATGTCTTGTAAAGAAACAACATATCCATGCATAGGCTTGAACCCGAATATAAAACAGTATAATTGCTATTATTAAATTTTTGAAAATGTTCTGATCAGTCAAGGTGCTGCTGCAACATAAGTATTTAGGGCCAAATGAGTCTCTTCCTGAAGATTTCTGTGAAAAATCAAGAAACTTTAAATTGCAGCATGAACCAGAACTTTTTGCATGTTATAATAATTTGCCATCCTTAAAGATACCATGAAGCTTCACATACCAGAGGAAATGTCAATTCACTATTTCCAACCAGACATGATCTTCCAGATCCAACAGCACCCTCACCATATCCTCGCACACTACCAAGCCCTCCAATTGCAAATGCTTGGTAAGGAGCCATGTCTCCTACAATGGAACCACCTGTCAGGCTGTCAGAATGAAAGGGTATGAGTCATGCACAGGGAGAGAGAATAAGAAGCATGAGTGTATAATTTCTTCCTACTGCTAAGATGCTCGAGGGGATAGCAAGAATTGCAGCATGCTTCCAGTACAGACTGCTGAGTAACTAGCGTAGCCAGGTACTCCATATCATTTCAAGCATTATTTTACTAAATTTCAGATTAAGACTCTCTTTACATTCTATCAGCAAATATAATTCCCTTTTGTTCTCTTCAGCAAATTAATAGCTCCCAGTACCAACATACTACAGTTTTTGAATTTATTTATGCTTCTAAGAACACCTCTCCTGCTTCCTAGCACATGCTGTGTATGCTACTGACGCCCTTGAAAAGACTCTTGTCCTTTACATCCTGCTTCCAATTACCAATTGTGTTCAGGGTCTTCCCTCTTTTTCGGACCGCTAAATCACTACTTGCACTAACAACTATGCAGCACCTACTAAAAACAGCATAGAAAACTTGCTCACCTTGCCAATAAAAATGCTGGTCCAAGTTTGACTCCTTTTGTAGCAGTAAATTTGAACTTGTTGAAGATTAGCCACTTTGATAGAATAGGAATCCCTTGTTCAATTTGCATACTAAACTGGATATAAGAAAACTAGTAGTTAGTGAAAAGCAACATGGCTGGCACTAAAGGTGTACGTGTCAAGACAGAGATTAGAATGGATAGAACTACAACTCAGCCTGAACGAATATCAATTTATAATTTAGCAAGAAGGTTTACCCGAGAAAAACTGTGATCATTTGCCTTTGCATACTGAGACTCTTGCTTCAAAACTAGCATACTGTCATGGGGACTGCCACTGTATTACAAGCATTTTACTGATTCATTAGGGAACAACATAATATAATTCACTTGAAACTGAAATAATAAAAGTGTAGACTACCTGCATGTCACTGGGAACCCATCAATGTCCCTGGTTATAGAGCGTCCATCATCATTCACTAGTTGGACATGCTGCACGGCCCAAAACAATTAATTTCTTAATAAATCAACCATATATGACAAGAAAAAAGAATACTCAGCTGAAAACAACAGCATAAGCAATAACTGCTTATTAAGCATGGCCAAAACCTCAAATTTGATACTGGTGCTGCTGCTCCAGTCAGAGCTTGCAGGCTCATTTCGATCCAAACCAACTGATAAACGAGACAAATTTACATCTCCACTCCCCGAACGAGAGAAATTGTCAATTGGTGTACCATGGACCCCAATTTCAGGTGAAAAGGAATGCTGGGACAAATAATTCGTGGATCAATTAGTGGGGAGAAAAAATAAACAAACCTTTTCCCTTAAAATCCCAATAGGCTGTTTTCTTTGAAAATCCTAAATTTTTGAGATTTTCTATACCCAAAACAAAATAAATCGAATTAAATAGTTTCTTCATTAAAACCCAGTTCCTTAATTTTCCGTCTACAAAACACAATAATAGCACCAAAGAGTAGTCATAGCTTATAGCAACTGACCTGAAGAACAAAACATTTTTGACAAAGCCACTCAGGTCTTGGCCTTCTATAAGTTATTGAGACATTTGAATCATAGAGCCCCTTATCCCATGATACATCAAGCTTCTCACTTCCACCAAATAAATTCGGGTGTTTGATGCAAAGACTGCAAAACGCTAATTGAATTAATTGCCAAACAACTACCGACACTATTTTTTGCAAGCAGGAAAGAGT